TGTTAGACGAGCGCGGTAACGTGAAGTTGTGTGACTTCGGCATTAGCGGACGTCTAGTCGACTCGAAGGCTAAGACGAGGAGCGCCGGGTGCGCTGCGTATATGGCTGTAACTATATTAATATTATTATCTCTTTTATTATGGTTTATTGGTAGGTTTTTTACTTGTACTCTAAAACATGCTTTATATCTGTATTATAGTTTTATTCGGGCAACATATAGAATTCAAAAGTTGAAATTTTTTTTGGAAATGATCGAGATCGAGAAGAAAGATGATTTTCAAGTCTTTTTTATATTCGTTTAAATATATGGTTTTTGGCCAATTTTAGTTTAATTAGTGGATTTTTAGTGAGAATATATTTTTTACAGCCTGAGAGAATAGATCCGCCGGACCCCAGTAGACCGGACTATGATATTCGAGCAGACGTGTGGTCCCTCGGTATATCGCTAGTGGAGCTCGCCACCGGCGTCTTTCCATATAGAAACTGCCAAAATGACTTTGAAGTGCTAACAAGGGTGAGTTTTACAGCATATATTCTATTTTAGCAAATAATCTATACTATTATAATATTATAAAGAGAACAGATTTGTATTTTTGTGTGTTTGTAATAACTCAAAAACTACTGGGTCAATTTAAAAAATTCTTTCATCAATAAATAGCTATGTTATCAGTAACATAGACTATGTTTATTTCAATTTTTATTTCCACACGGACGAAGACGCGAGCAACAGCTAGTAATTGTTTAACGTAAATAATTTGTTTTTTTTTTTTTTTCAGGTAATAGCAGATGATCCACCTCAATTGCCGGATACGAGTGATTTTACGTCAGAATTCAAATCTTTTGTATCTCAATGGTAAATAATATAAATTATTACACTATTAAGTAAACAGAAGTGAATTTGCATGGTTACTAAGGACCAAAGAAAGTATGGTTGGATTGTGTGAAAGATGTGCTTAAGAAAAGAGTGAATTCAGACAGAAATGTATGGAAGAGCAGCACATACTGTGCCAACCCTTTATAGGGATAAGAGGATGATGATTATTAAGTTAACTAGCTGTTCCCGTGCGGCTTCATCCGCATGAAATTATGAAACTTTTTTTTATTGTTTTACATTTGTCAAATTATCAATTGCAAATGACAAAATGACATGTCATGGCAAACCTTGACAACCTTGCTTCTTGATGTTGGCAACAACTTATGGTCTTTTTCCCACATTAAGGTTTTATCCAAAATATTTACCTCTAAGTTTAATGGCGTGAAAATATAAAGCCTAAAGCGTGACGCAAGTGTAGGGCGTTTTTATAAAACAAGAATTATTCAAAATGTTGTAATTGCTGACATCTTAGGCATTAAAGAAGTGTGTGTTTACGCTGTATTATAATAGTATAGATAAACAACCCATAATTTGTTGCAGCCTTACAAAAAACTACCGCCAGCGTCCGAAGTACCCGAAGCTTCTAGAACATCCGTTCGTAGTGAAATCGTGTCGTAGCAACGTGTCCGTGGAGGAGTGGTACGCGACGTTGCCCAAGAGCGGCGCCCCTCCCTCGCCAGCCTCGCCC